AAAAAATAATTGTATGTGGTAATAAATAAAAAATGTGTTACTCATCGAAGGAATATTTAATCTAGGATGATGGTGAAACGTTCCGACCATAATCAATGATGCAACGAGGCTTATTTTTGGATAATACATGCGCGGTATGTTAATCCTTTTCTTTTTCCTTCCTTTTTTTTTGTAACTAGGATATAAATGAGAATGCCGGTGGTTGTGGAGTGGGGGAGGATGTAGAGAGAAAACCCATACGAAAAACGAGTTTTATTTATATTTACGCAAGGTGAGTCGGTTTGGTAGGAATTCTTATTGCGAAAGAAGAAGAGATGAACGAACGATCGTTGACGAAGCAACAAATTTAGAATGTAAAATGGTTTAAATATTTACTAAATTATAATATCAATGATAGAAAATATCTAGGTAATTATACGTCACAGAGAAATATTTTTTTTTTTAAATACCCTCTCAAGTATTTTATATGATTTTAATATATATATATATATAATCAGGTATTTATTGCACAATTTACAAAGTTTTTTTACAATGTTTTATCATTACTTTACTTATATTTTTATTTCACTATATGATTTAATATAATTTGTTCAAAGTGTTTAGAGAATTATTGTTATTTGGGGGGGGGGGGGGGGGGGGGAAAGTTTCATTACAAATAATAAATGTGAAAAAAAAAAGAAAAAAAGAGAAGAAATGTTGAATCTACTTCCATGGGAATACGAATAACTGGTAATAATCATAATTGTATATGAAAATACTGTGTGTATGCTGCTAGCATGCAAACGGTAAATACACAGGTACGTCGATGATCTTGACGTGTGACGAATTTTAATAAAACCTCAGTAACGATAATCACTCGTCGTCCCCTGGGCCAATTAGCGAGTCGTATAGAATAGTATGCATGGCCAAGGACAACTGGCAACCAATCGATTATGTGAAATTCGCGCCGGTAATTGAACATTGCTATTATTTTATCTCTGTTATCTAGTTTTTCTTTTGCATATGTAAAGAAAAGTTCAAAAGCTTTGTCTTTAACAAACCTTTTTAGAATAAAAACTATTAAACATTTTTTCCGAATATCTACAAAGAAGAAGAATAAGAAGTACGTATTATTATTATTATTATTATTATTATTATGCTCTTGCTGGAATGTTAATTGTCGATGACGCAACTTTTTCATTATTTTTTCTTATTATTGTTTAAAAGTTTTTCTTGTTTTTCTTTTTCTTCTCGCGTTAAATAAAGTTAACATTAAACAATTGCATAGTGTTATTTGTCAAAATGTGATAATAATTGATCAAAATCGTTGCTGTATATTTTTAACAAAAATTTTATGTCTGTGAAAAAGAATAAAATATAATATATTATTTATTTGTTTAAATAAAAATAAATATATATTGTTCGTTATTAATTAATTGGCTGACAATTTCATTCTATGTGATAATAAAATGATCAATTTAATGTTAATTGGGAATATCGTTATATCGTAAAAAAAAAAACATTGTTAAACGATAAATAAATGGTACAAAAAATTTATTTGCTTTTTTGTTCAATAACTAATTAATATGATTAATTAAACGTGTTAAATAATCACAGAATAAATGAAGTTCATATGGGTCATTACCACGTTAAGTCAAATGATATTTTTTACTAATACTTCACATTTTTTTTTCTTTTCTGATTTAAAGTAAAAAGAATAGTTTTTTTTTTTATCGAGATGTAGGTATGCCATTTGTGTACGTTTTTTTTTTTTTAAATCATGAATAGGTCACTTGTCGGGGTAAATAAAATAAAATTTTTAGCTGAAAACGAAAGGGGTTACCTAAAAATTTGGTTAATCTAGGTGTGAAATAACCTCTATAGTATATAATAACATATATAATATAAAATATTGCGTTAAAGAAAACAAAAATTAATAACGATCAATAAATTTATAAAAATGTGTTTAATAAAAAGAGATATTAAATGCTACTAAATTTTTTTTGTTACTTTTATCGAGAATAATAAAATGCATAAGAAAAAGAGAATAAATTTTCTACAAACATAATAATATCACCGAGAATAATTATATCTTACGTTTCTTTTACACCATAGTTACATAAAATAGTCGGTGAGATTCTCATAAAAGTTAAGATATCCGGATTCTTGGATCATTCTTTCTCTTTATTTTCTAGCTTGCAACGTTACGAACGTGCATATATATA